AAAGAAAGAAAGAAAGAAAGAAAGAAAGAAAGAAAGAAAGAAAGAAAACCTGCGTACGCCATGCCCGCTGCTGTCCAAAGCGGTGCTGAAGCCGGCAGACACCTTCAAGAGTTTCACCACTAGTTCAGCCGCCGGTTCCTTGGCCAGAAGGATGGAGGGAGGGTAGTGGCTATTGAAGTAACCCAGGATGCTCCGATAGGACACAATGTTGATGTGATGCCAGGGAAGGGAGCTGGTCTGGCCCAGGACGTTGAGCAGCGGAGATTGCTGGAGGAGGAAGAGGAGGAGGAGGAGGAGGAGGAGGAGAGAAACCGGCGTTTCATTCATGGCCCTTTCTCCGCCCCCACCTCCCCCTTTACAGGTAGCCTTCCTTCTTTAACAATTCACAACTGAAAGCAGAATTTCATTCAGAAATTTCAACCGGGGGTAAGAAGGCAGTATTGCAGGGGCTTGCTCTGCCGACTGCCAGCAGTTTGATCCGGACTGACTGAAAACTGACTCAGCCTTCCGTCCTTCCGAGGTCAGTAAAAGGAGGACCCAGATTGTTGGGGGGGAAAATAGGCAGACTCTGTAAACCTCTTGGGGAGAGGGGCAAGACCTCCCCTCACTACCTCGTGTGGTTCGCAATGCACGCGACACGAGCCTTGTGTTCCCGTGGGCCATGTGGGTGGCGCAGCCCTGTGTTCCCGCGCAGCCTGGATTAATTGCTTTGGGGATGACATTTCTCTGCGGACCACTAACATTTTCTCATGGATCACCAGTGGTCCCCGGCCCATTGGTTGGTGACCACTGCCCTAGACCATTTTAGACAAGTGACTGTCCACAGTCTCTTCTTAAAAGCCTGTTCTGACCAAGGTTTATTGAGACACAAACAAATACACGTAAGTCCCAAAACCCTTTTTTCTTTTCAATGGCTGTGAATTATTGTCATTCACAGCCCGTAATGAGTCTCAAAACAGTTTGTAAATAGTCCCATAAAAGTCTGCCAAAGGTCTTCGGGATAACTCTGATAAGCACACACTTTTATCTTCCTTGAAATGCTACCAAGGACTAAATTTCCACTTAGTTATAAAAGGCCAAACAGAGCACAAAGTTAACACGGAGCTTCAGGTTTCAAACTGACCAGAACAAAGTTGCTTCCTGCAAAGGCTCCTGTCCCTTTGCACTTCCCTTTATGTCTTATGGGAGGGGCCAATCATCTCCAAGCCTTACTCCTTAACTGTTCTTGCCTTCTGGCAGCTCTGCGCAAGCGCACACTGGGAACAGGCTCCCTCTGTTCCTCTGCCTCACTGATGTCAGATTCTGGAGGCTCCAGAGTCAGCACATAACTCCCAGGTGGCCCTGACGCCATCTCTGCGTCGGATGCAGGACCCTTGTTCGAGTCCTCCCCAGACCCCCGGACTGGCCCATGTTCCTCCTCACTGTCCGACTCTGCTGCCGTCTCCGCAGGCTGCCAGTGGACCACAACAAAGCCTACGGCGACGATGAATTCGGGGATGCTGCAAAAGTCGTACGTGTGAAAAAATGGCCGTAAGCCACTTTTTGTCAGTGCCGTGCTAACTTCAAACGGCCACTAAACGAGCTGTTGTAAGTGGAGGATTACCTGTATAATTTAGGGAGGGTTCACTGAAGTCTCTATTCGGGATAAAGAGTTAACAGGTAGAGAGACAAGGAGGCTAAGGAAAACAGTAATGTGATATAATGAGAGTTTTGCTGGATTGGATTCCTTACAAGAACACAGTATGATACGGTGCACAATTAAACGTCAATTAAGGGGAAATCCTCGCTGCAGGGATGTCGGGAGAACCAATCCCTTTTCTGCGAATAAAAAAAAAACTCCGGCAGCTTAAATCCTCACCGCTTTTCTTCCAGCTTTTAAGTGTCTTTAAGAAGGGATGAAACAAATTCAGGGGAGATTACGCTATTGTCCAACTACATACGACGCTCCTCGGGATTAGAGACAGAATCCTTCTAAGCCACTGAAAATTGCCAGCCGGAAAGCCCTCTCGTGTTCTTCTGCCCTACTTGGAAACTTCCAAAGAGCTAAATCTTGTTTGGAAGCAAGGAAGAAGCTTCTGGGCAAGGTTCTGAGTTTGGTCCGACAGAACTTCAAGGAGAGAAACGATCTAGAACTAAGGAGGAATTTCCTGACAGTGAGAACAATTAACCAGCGGCACAACTTGCCTCCAGAAGTTGTGAATGCTCCAACACTGGAAGGTTTTAAGAAGAGATTGGACAACCATTTGTCTGAAGTGGTGTAGGGCTTCCTGCCTGAGCAGGAGGTTGGACTAGAAGACCTCCAAGGTCCCTTCCAACTCTGTTATTCCATTCCATTTCTTTCTATTCCTATTCCTATTTCTATTCCTATTTCTACTTCTTTTTATTCCTATTCCTATTCCTATTCCTGTTCCTATTTCTATTTCTTTCTATTCCTATTCCTATTCCATTTCCATTCCTATTCCATTCCTACTCTACTCTACTCAAACTTTGTGGGTTCTTCAAAGCCCATCTTGATCCAGAATTAGCCCCAGTCCTCCCAAATCCAACGTAGTTGGATAAAATAATATATATAAACTATGATAGTAAGTTTAAGTGTGTGTCACTTTAAACTGCAAAGCATGTAATTTTGGGTGCGGTTGTAAACCACCATAAGAGGGAGCAAGAGAACCTGCTGGATTGCTGGATTGATGATTTGCTAACAGAGTGTTCCCTGCTGCTGAGTTGCTGAACGTTGAAGGAAGAAAGGAGGTTTGACTTCTTCATATCTCTACGGCGAGGAGATTTATTACTGGACTGATATTTGTAAGTTTACTGACCTCTTTTTCGACACTGGACTTTGCAACTGAATAATCCCCGGACGGACTGAACTAGTGAATGATATATGGACTGTTTTGACTATGCTAAAACTATTACTGGAATAAACTATTTAACTAGCACAGTGTATCTGTTTTACTGAGTGTAAGCTACAAAAACGTTTATCTCACATATTTTGCCTGCCTGCCTGACTGCTGTGCAGATTCTGCTAGGGTGTATCCCTGACAAGATCAATGCAAATTGATAGTTTAACCGGGGGAGTCTCGCGGCGATTTTAAGGGCTTCCCTGTCACTTGTCCCATGACTTTTTTTCAAACCGGAAAAAAACCCCAAAAAAAGGTTTGTGTCCCCCCCCCTGCAAAAAAAACACATCTGCTTAAACCAGGAAGCCCCAAGAGTTAAGACTCAAACCCAGTTTATCTGAGTGGTTTTGGGCGTAAAGAGAAGATATGGTGAGCTTCCCATTTGGATAGGTGATGGGGAAGTTGTTAGGAATATAAGTCACCTAACAGGTATTTGGGTTAGAAATATATAAACCAGGATAGACATTTTAGTACTATATCTTTAAGAAAATGCAAAACTGTAGTTGGGTGTGGTTTTTCAAACGGCCATAAGATGGAGCCAGAAACCTGGGTTGTTTTAGTCTTAGTCTCAGAAGAGAGTGTGTCTGAGTATCTCTGCTTCCTTCTGTTGGAAAATATTGCTGTTGCTCCATTTCTTCTAATTTACTGCTATTTCTGGATTTGATGTAAGTCTGATACTGAACTGTTTCTGACACTGGAATTTGATATTTGGATTATCCCTGGATTGAAAAACTGACTGATTTACTTGTGAATGACTTTGGATTGCTTATTTTGGACTTTGCGTAAACCTTTCTGGAAGTAAAAACCTACATTTACTGTAGAGTGTATCTGTGTGCTCTGTGTGTATTATTTCAACACTACTCTCTGTACGTCTCCCTGTATGCGCTCATTCTCCTAATGGGGAATTACCTCAACAGAGGTTTCAAGCCAAGGGCTGTTCTTGGTCCTGTGTTGAATAGGACCTTCAATCCAAAGTAGATAAACCCAAGGGGGGGGGGGGGGGAATATGTCCAGAACAGATTCTAAACGTAATTGAATTTAATGTTTAATTAAGCACCACGATCAAGATTGTCCTCTCCATTATTTAATCTGCTCCCTACCAGAAAAATTAGAACATAGAATAACAGGGCTAGAAGGACCTTGGAGGTCTTCTAGTCCAACCCCTTGTTGTGACCCAGCTCCCCAAACACGACAAACCCTCTGTGGTTGAAGCAACGATTCCTTTATTAGGAATGCTGGCAGCCCCAGGGAGAAGTTTCTCTCTCACCGCAGGCTAATAAGTCTGTCCAGCAGGGGAGATGAAGAGTTGCCTGTCACATCTATTCATCTCTTCCCCCTGCCTTTTATCCCCAGAGCTAGCGTGAGGCTTGCTAACAGCAGTGGCTCTTCCATCCCAAGGACCGGCTCATAGATTTCCACTACTCTCCTTTCCTCTGCCTTCTGTGCATCCGTACGTCAGGCACTGGACCCAGCTGTTTCTCCTCTTCCTCCTCAGCCACCTCTAGACCTGGGGACTGTAGACTCTCCATCTGAGGGCTGATGGATGATCCAGGCTCTGCTCCTCTCTCTCTTTCTCTCTCTGCCAACTCCGTTCCCTCTTCCCCCTCGGAGCTCTCAGGTTGCCCTGATGCTGACCTGACTCCCACGCCTCTTCTACCTCTTCCTGATTTGGCTGCTGTAGGGGTCGGCAGCCGACAGGCGACAACACCTCTGCCCAAGGCAGGAGACCCACATGAGCCCAAAAAGCTTGGTAGAATAAACTTTTGATCCTGGCAATCGACTCAGATCAGATCCTCAACACTGTCCCTGAGACATATATTTTGCTTCGTTCGAGGAAAACATCTCTGCCACCAAGAAGATTTGATGGTTGTGTCCTGGAAGCCACCAGGAGTCGAGCACACACAGTAGGGGGGTCTGTACTCTTACCTCTTTGGTGATCAGCTCTTCCTCTTTGGCCAGCAGGATCACCATATAAAGCAGGCACACGATCAGGCTGTGGGTGTCCGGGGGCGGAGTGGGATCCCAGGCGCCAGCGAGGACACTGACCCAATTCACCTCACACAGCACTGAGCCCAGGAAGAGGAAACAGCTCTTGGGGCTGCCTCTTTCTACCTAGGACCAAAAAAAAAAAA